CAAATCAAAAACAGTAACAAACAAAAACATGTCTGTGGCTTGCAGTAGTATACATTTATCCTTTGCTCATGTAAACGTGTTGGTTTGGGGTCACTGGCAGTTCTGCTGATCTGCTTACCCTGTCCCATCTGTCCCTGGGACTCAGGCTCTTGATCTTGTAAGAAAAGAAAGTAAAAAATGGTTGAATCCTGCAGTGGCTCCCAAAGCTTCTCCCTGGAGATGGCGTATCACTTCCGCTCACGTTATGTTGGGTAAAGCAAACCCTATGGCCAAGCCCAGTCAATGGGAAGAATAATCATTAATTTTTCATGGGGAGGCATTGTAAGTCACATGGCAGTGAGCAGAGATGTTAGATCCCATTACAAGGAGGGATTTAAATAGGAAAAATAATACAGTCTATCCTAGTGCATAAGCACAAAAGAAAAAGGGGTTGTTATTGTTGTGGGGGAGGTGAAAATTCACAAGTCCTACAATGTATATTGAATGCAGGATGGGCTGCAACAATATTTGAGATCACTTTAGAGCATTTAATGAACTTTATTTGTCTCTTTCAAAGGATTTGTGGTTAAGGTATTGTCATGTCCAGGATCCAGAGAGAATACAGGCTTTCAGATTTAATAAGGTTTCATTTCCACAGAGACAGAGAAATGCAGCCAAAATCAATTGTACCTTCTAGGTTTAGGGCCCTTGAGCCCTATAAGTTCCTCTTAAAACATTTGGACTGCAGCTGCCTTTCTCCTTGCTAAAATCCTTGAATTTCATTAGCGAGGCCTTGGGGAATGGCCCACTTTAGCTTGCTCTGATGCTATTTGGCTGTTTTTCTTCCTTCTTGTCATCTTCTAATGGGCAAAATACAAAAGAGAGACTACAGTCTTAGCAGAGGAGTTTGGAGCTCTGGAGGATCAGAGAACAGGGTGATATCTTACTCTGTGTTTCCTGCTTCCTGGTTTCCAAGAGCTAGTATGTTTGTGTTGCTAACAAAAATTGAACCATCATGCCATGCCTTAAAATTAATGAATCAACGAGCGTTTGTCAAATACCGATTTGCAAAGTTCTATGTTAGATGCTAAAGGCATGACAGACATTTTCTCCTCCTTCAAAGATTTGCTGTTTGGTTAGAGAGATATTTAGCATAACTTTAAGACAAATATGAAATTCGTGTTACAGCTCTTAGAAAGAAACTGGTTTGGCATGAGTCAGTGGAAAGGCATGTGATTTTTAAGGTCTGTGTAAGATTCAATCATATGGCTATACCCTAATTTATTTAATCACTCTCCTATTATTAGACACTTGGAATACTTTCAGTTCTTGTGATTATAGATCCACTCTGATGTGAATTCTTGTGTGTCTTTGCCTGTATCTCAAATGATTTCCTTATGATAGAGTGTTAGGAGTGAAGTTACTGGGTCCAAAACTGAACATTTTGAAGACTCCCGATGCATACTGTCAAATTATTTCCCAGAAATTTATATATGCTTCCACCAGTTGTGAATGGGAGCAACTGTGTTACCATATCCCTGCTAGCTGTAAGTATCAGAACTTTTAAAATCTTCCCTTTATTGCCCATTTCCCTTGGCCTGGGTGGATAATCCTTAAGGCTCAATTTATTTATTTATTTATTTAAAGATTTTATTTATTTATTTGACAGAGACAGAGATAGCGAGAGCAGGAACACAAGCAGCGGGAGTGGGAGAGGGAGAGCAGGCTTCCCGCCGAGGAGGGAACCCGATGTGGGACTCCATCCCAGGACCCCGGGATCATGACCCGAGCCGAAGGCAGACGCTAAACGACTGAGCCACCCAGGCGCCCCTTAAGGCTCAATTTAAAGGTTATTTCCACTGCCAAATATTCCATAATCCCCTGTTTGAGTTCAGGGTTTTGGGGTGAAGTCAGTTTCCTTTAAGGCCTTTTTATATCACCCTTTCTCTCTTCTGAAATGAAATTCATAAGATGATATAACCTCAATACACATATAATATAAAAAAAATAAAGTTGGAAATATAAGATTTAGGAGAAATAAAGTAAAAAATGTACATATTTATTTATTGCATTATGTTATAAGCCTAGGCAAGCTAGACTTGAAGACAAAATGGAGCCTTATGCTATTTTCTCTTTGAGTCACCGTGAATGCCGCATACAGACCCAGGCTGACGTGGCTGTGTATGTTGGTGGCAAATTTTCTGAAATGGTTACCAGCTCTTGTCAGATTTCCAGGGAAAGAAACACACAAAACTTCCTTTGATTTGTACTCTACTTATAATCTTGGAATATTCAGTATTTATTAAAATTGGGCAAAACTATTTTGGGTTTGGTCTATAAAACAGAGCTAGATTTCACACTTAGTAATAGAACTGTCCCTTATATGAGTGTCACATGGGATGCAGGAGAATTTTTGTGTGTGACACAAAATTATCTCTCACATTTCAGGGTGTTTAGTGTCTTTGGTCCCCAGTCACTAAATGTCAATAGTGCCTAGCCACTACTCTGTTAGTTGATTAAAACAAAAACAAAAAAATGTCTTCAGAGATTTCCAAAATGTCTAGTTGTGAGGTGCCTGGGTGGCTCAGTCAGTCAGGTGTCTGCCTTCAGCTCAGGTCATGATCTCTGGGTCCTGGGATCAAGCCCCTCATTGCGCTCCCTGCTCAGCTGCTCCCCCAGCTCGTGTGCTCTCTCTCAAATAAATAAATAAAATCTTTAAAAAAAAAAGTGTGTAGTTGTGATACCTATTGAGAACCATTGTATTAAGTAATGATATAGCACCCCATACTTTCCCAAACATGGCACTCATGCTTTTAGAAAAATATGCTTGCTTGTTGTAGGGTCCTTGTAAGCATGACTGACCCACCCAGGCCCTGGCACTTACTGATGCCTTGATAATGTTAGTTGAGAAAATGAATTAATATTTGGGTAGCTAGATCTTCCAAAATAATTCTATATAACAGGAGTAGTATCTATATCCTTGGAATCATTCCAAATTTTGTGAGAAACCTCTAGCGTTTCACCTTTCAAAATGTCAAGAATTGCAATAGCTATTCTTTAGTTCACATTTTTTATGACTAGGCATTTTGCTGAGGAATTCACACTATTGTTTCATCTATTTGCTTCAACAACCCCATGAGCCAGGGTTAGATTTAGTAACTTGCTCAGAAGTGCAGGGGCTCTGGCCAGGTCTGTGTGACTGCATGGACTGTGCTCATGGCCCTTATAAGACATTGACTATTGATTTAAAACAGGTGGTCTTTATTGTATGAAGGCAATTTTCTTCCGCTCTTAACTTTCTAAGAGTTTTGCTTTTCATAAAAAGGAACGCTGGCCATTTTTTTTTGACATCTATGGGAATACGTGGTTTATCTTATTGGATCCATTGAGGAGTGTAATTTATAATTTGTAATTTCAAATAACCTTGCATTATTCAAGTTATCATATTTGATTGGTTTATAAGCCTAATGATGAAGTAAAGTTGTTTTTCTAGAACTGTGTTTAAGATTTTTGTATCTATATACATAGGTGAGATCAATCCATAGTTTCATCTGTATTATCCATATTGGAATTTAATAAGATAGTTCTGAGAAAAATTAGTTGGAGATTCCTCCATGTTTCAGGGTACCTTAGAACAAATTATCTATGGCAATTATTTGTTCCTTAAAAGTTTGAAATAATTGGGGCACCTGGGTGGCTGAGTCGGTTAGGTGTCAGACTCTCGATTTCAGCTCAGGTCATGATCTCAGGGTCATGAGATTGAGCCCTGCATCAGGCTCCATGCTCAGCAGGAAGTCTGCTTGAGACTCTCCCTCTCCCTCTGCCCCTCTTCCTACTTGTGCATGTCTCTCTCTCTCTAAGTAAAATCTTAAAAGAAAGTTTGAAATAATTGGTGAGGTAGAACATTTTCTGGGAGTTTTGGGAGGGGAAGTAATTATTTGATAATGTTTTTAATTTTATCCATGGTTTATTGTCTATTCAGATTTTATTTTCCTTCTCCTTGAGATAATTTTAGTAATTTATATTTTTTTCTGGAAATAACCATTTCAAACATTCAGCTATATTAGCATAGAGTTGTACAAAGAATTATCATTCATATGAAATGAATGTATCAGTATCTGTATTTGTAGCATTTTTCTCATTTTTGGTTTGTATATCTGTGTTTATTCTTGTTTTAGTTTTCTTTTTATTTTCTTTTATCTTTATTGACAAAGATGTGTCTTAAATATCCCTATCCCCAACCCTACTCTCAAAAAACAATTCTTGAATGTATTCTTAAATTTAATATTATTTTGTATTTTATTATTAGGTTTTACTTTTAGTTTTACTTTATTATCCCTCATTGTAATACCTTTTCCAATTTTTTAAGTTGACTTTTTAAATTCTCTTTCTGTTATCTACTTTTCTGTTTCTTTCTTTCAATAATAAAGCAGTTTATTTATTTATTTATTTATTTATTTATTTTTGAAGATTTTATTTACTTGACAGAGAGAGAGACAGCGAGAGAGGGAACACAAGCAGGGGGAGTGGGAGAGGGAGAAGCAGGCTTCCCGCAGAGCAGGGAGCCTGATGCGGGGCTCGATCTCAGGACCCTGGGATCATGACCTGAGCCAAAGGCAGATGCTTAACGACTGAACCACCCAGGTGCCCCAATAATAAAGCAGTTTAGTCTAGGACTTCCTTTGATTACAGATTTGGCTGAAACTTGCATATTTTGATATGTTATCATATTTTGCTGTTTTCTCAATAATCCAAAATTATAAATTTATCTCCCCTTTCACATTGTAGAAATTAGTAGGAGAATGTTTTAAATATTCTTATGCTTTTGGATTTTATTTGGCTTAAGATTTTGTTATCAATATTTAGTGTTATTTTAATTGTGCTGAAAATTTTCCCATATGTAACCTAAATTAGATGATAACTTATTCTGAATCTGCCGTTTTCTCATCTCCAAATAATCCACCATCACCAAGGTAATTTTGTTGATTAGGATTACAGATCTATTTTGTTTTTCTATTTAGGTTCGAGATGATCAAACCTTACTTGGAAAAGTCTGTGGCAATGAAACCATCTCTAACATTAAATCCATTACTAATAGTATCTGGATCAGGCTTAAAATAGATGCTTCTGTTGTAAGAGCTAGTTTCAGAGCTGTTTATCAAGTCGGTAAGAAAATTTATGCCTTAATTTTTAAGTGTTTAATTTGTCTGATTGTAACATTTTAATTTCTTGAAATAATTTAGTCATTTTATGTCCTTTAGTAGCAAGGAAAAAATTCTAAAAGTAATATCACATTCCTGTATATTCCTATGCAGAACTACTCTTTGCAATAAAAGTGAAGGCAAGAATCATTTATCTCTGAACAAACACTACTATCATTTTCATATTTACAGCTTGTGGAGGAGAATTAACTGGAGAAGGGGTCATTCGCTCACCTTTTTATCCTAATGTGTATCCAGGAGAAAGGATCTGCAGGTGGACCATCCACCAGCCCCAAAGCCAAGTAGTTATTCTCAACTTCACTGCCTTTGAAATTGAAAGTTCTACCCACTGTGATACAGATTATATTGAGGTAAGAGTAAAACATCTTTAAATACTTGTATTTGGTTGAATATTATTAAAAATATTATGTACATTATCTTCAGATCAGCTACATGCAACTAGTTTGTAAAGACCAATATCTCTATAGATTCAAAAATTCTCAACAAAATACTAGCTAACTGAATTCAGCAGCATGTAAAAGAGGAATATACACCATGACCAAGTGGGATTTATCCCCAGGAATGCAAGGGTGGTGTACATTCAAAAATCAGCTAAATGTCTATGCTGCCCAGAGCAATCTATACTTTCAATGCCATCCTGATCAAAATACCAATGGCATTTTTCAAAGTGCTGGAACAAAAAATCCTAAAATTTGTATGGAACCAGAAAAAACCCTGAATTGCCAAGGAAATGTTGAAAAAGAAAAACAAAGCTGGGGGCATCACGTTGCCTGATTTCAAGGTCTATTACAAAGCAGTGATCACCAAGACAGCATGGTACTGGCACAAAAACATACACATAGACCAATGGAACAGAATAGAGAGCCCAGATATGGACCCTCAACTCTGTGGTAACTAATCTTCGACAAAGCAGGAAAAAATATCCAATGGAAAAAAGACAGTGTCTTCAATAAATGTTGCTGGGAAAATTGGACAGCTATATACAGAAGAATGAAACTCAACCATTCTCTTACACCATACACAAAGATAAACTCTAAATGGATGAAAGACCTCAATGTGAGACAGGAATCCATCAAAATCCTAGAGGAGAACATAGGCAGTAACCTCTTCGACATCAGCCACAACAACTTCTTTCAAGACATGTCTCCAAAGGCGAGGGAAACAAAAGCGAAAATGAACTTTTGGGACTTCATCAAAATAAAAAGCTTGGCACAACAAAGGAAACAGTCAATAAAACAAAGAGGCAACCCATGGAATGGAAGAAGATATTTGCAAATGACACTACAGAAAAAGGGCCGGTATCCAAGATCTATAAAGAACTTCTCAAACTCAACACCCAAAAAACAAATAATCAAGTCAAAAAATGGGCAGAAGACATGAACAG